AAGGAGTTCTCAAATATCGGTGGTTTTTTATAATGTTCTACAAAAAGCTATTTTCCTACATGATCTTCTTAGTCAAAAGAGGCCTTCACCAAAGATTCTAGTTATTTTTAATGTTGAATTGTGTACCTATGTATAATTGTAAAATATGGTTTTTAGGACATGTAAGGAAAGTAAGATCATTTTTGTCGTGATTCATGATCGGTTTAATACATGTTAAATAATTTTGAAATAACTTTGTACTTAAGAGAAATGGTGTCTTATGAATGGTGAGACTCGAGTTCTATACTGAACATGCATTTTGTAACCGTTGTTGATAATGCATGAGAGTGTAATAAAAGTATCGGAGTGTGAAATCCACCACTTCGTATGCAATCATTTAATGTCATTCAAAGAAAGTGGCGGGGAAGCATTTAGATACTCATTCATCTCTGAGCAATATTTTGTAAGTGTTTCTATCTGTACAATACTCAACGAAAAAGATTCAAAAAAGCAGTGAGTAATTAGAAATTTAAAAATTTACCAATTAGAATTTATAAAAATTTAAAACAATCTTTATATATCATATTTTCATCATGAAGCTCTTAAGGAAAGAGACAAATTTCTTTTCAGTTCCTCTTGTTTTAATTATATATTTGGGTGCCTCAGTTATGTGAGTATTTTATTTTTAAAAATCTCCCGACGATATAAATTATACTGTTTACTTGGAATTCTTCATGCTAATCGGAGTGCCTCTCCGCGACAAGTCGTTTCGATTCCAGAGTCGCCATTCGCGATCCCAATAGGATTCGATTGCGCAACAATCATTTCGTGGAATTGCATCGTCAGCGGTAGACCAGGTGTCGATACAAAAGCGCATAGGCGCGACTCCGATTCGATTCCACGGCCCCCAGTATGTACGTGATCGACGCGATTGCCAACAGACGATGTTCTTCGGGCGTGCTAATGAATCAATGGGTCACGGCCTGCTTTGTCTTTTTCCAGTTTCACGGAGACGAACTAGTTCATCGATCCATATAAGATTCGCTTTTGAGCACAGAAATGTTGCAACACTCGCAGTCGCAGCATCTCCACGTTGTTCGGATCGAGTAAATTCTGCGTCGTAGTTGTAAAAAATACTGGTTTTTAAAGTTTTCTCGAAATTCCAGGTGTCTATTCTTTCGAATCGAGATTGAATAGCTAGCTAGTGTTAGAAGTGACTTGGAAGATGGAAGTTTATTTACTAAAATTTAAATAAATATTTAACTAGGATCTATGAAATTCGATAAGATTTCTGGAGTAGATATGATTTATGTAGCTTCAATTTAGTTAAAGATTGAACGTCTCTAGATAGGATGTGATCCTTACGGATTATCCTTGCTTTTTAAACCATTCTCATACACTGTTTTTATTTATATTGCTGACTCTTGCTTGGTAGACGATAACAATTTATCTCGAAGCTCGTCACGCATCCATCGTTCACCTTATCGTTCATTATCAAGGTTACCTACGATATAGTACAGAAAGTTGAAGTGTATTTTTCTTTCATTCATAGATACGTAGCAATACACAGTAATTCCTTGATGAATGTGACACGAACAACGGTGTTATTCCCACCACTGTGGGCTCCCCTTCTGGTACCAATCAAAACAGAGTAACCAGAAGCTAAGCAGAGGCTCGACTTCGTGCAAATAACAATTTTATGAGGGGTTGAAAACCTTCAGCTTTCGCACTCATCGAGACATTACTGTAGAAAGTTGATTAGCGGATGTTTATGCAAATATAGAATATTTGGGAATAATTTACCGAAACTGGACACAAAGAAAAATTTATTTAGCTTGGTAAGGGTTCCAGTAAATTTGAAATAAACGGTAAAACTGAGGAAACTTTCTGAAACTTTTTACTATACTCAATTTTAGACGATAGGATATGCTATAAATGCATAAAATTCGGAGTTTGTCGATTAGTATCATTTTGAAATTCAATTTCCATTTGTTTTTTTTTTTTTTTTTTTTTGAGAAGAAAAACGTAGTTTCCAGAAAACAGCGTTAAATATCAACGTTGCTCCAAGTTCTTGCGGATCAATGGCGTCGGTAAACTCCTTGCAAGGCCCGAGCGCCCACACTCGAAATTCTAATTGATCATTCCTGAGTATCGTCGAGATTATGTTGCGTGGTGACGCAATTTCGAGGATGCAAATCGTTATGCAGTCCCGCGGACAATTAAATCGAAGACGCGACGTCGCACTAACGAAAATGGCGGTTCCGCGTGGGCGGCCCACGCGATTTTCCGAGATTTTTGTTGCGATGCATAGTTGACGATGATTTTGTCGCGAATTCCGGTTTCATTATTAATGACCGTGTGACGCGATCGAGACAAAAAAGCCTGGAGGGAATTAACATGTCGATCGGATATTCATCATCGACAAAAAGTCGGGTATTAACAACAGATTTCTGAGATTGTACATTGATTAATGTTCAATTGTGATGTTGTGCAATTTTTTAGACATTTACAGCGCTGTATACTATATTCTTCTGGCTCTAGACATTTTTCAATTTACCTACGCCTTCTGTGATTGGAGAATATCGGAGCTTGTGGCGTGATGTTTGAATTAGTTGCAGAAATTTGGAGTATTTTACGAGGAATTTTTTTTCTAGGAATTATTTTTTATCATCTAAGAATTATTTCGTATCTTCTAGAAATTTTGTTTGTTATCTTTGCAGCTTGTAACGATTGCCACGGTATACTCCGTGAGAAATTCGACACCTGTTAGCGTGTTGCTTTTCCGAAAGGGTACACCTTTTCTTGCTGGAACTAAAAGCGTGATACACCTTCGTGCGTCAAGGTGAACTGGAATCGACAGCAACCTCGTGTGGGTGTCGAAGAGACGCCTAGTTATTTAATAGTGGCACGTGCGTGTTATTATACGCGTTTAGTATACAATTACGCTGTGAATTATTAAACCTATGTCGAAGCTACCAGAAGCTTCATTCAGTATTTTTAATTTGATTACAAAGAAATAGGTAGCCTCTACATATAGAAATGTAGAATTTATTATTATGAGCAACGTTCGTATTATAAAATTGTAGAATTCTTTGCCCAGAATGCTTCTTCGTAATATTTTTCTAAAAACTTCAATATTTATACTTTTCTATATAACACTGTTTTATTTAATGGAATAACTGTTAGTATTCTAGAACCAGTTACTAGTTCTTTGATTTTCTATATTGCTTCTACATCGCGTGTATATGAATCGAGTGTACATGTAACGTGGAAGAGAATTGTAGCTCCATCTCGTTGCAATTGCGAAAGTCTACACCTGCATATACCACTCTGTTACCACTTTTCGCTGGTGCAGCGACGATTAATTAAGAGTATCGGTACATAAACCTGTGAATGGGGTTTACCGACGTAGTAATCTAATATTTCACAGAATGCAAGCCATTAAAAACGTCCATTCAGTATTGTTCTTGACGTATAGTTACTATTATCAGTTTCATTTATACTTTTATAATATTTTTTCAATATATTTATTATATGTCACTATTTATAAATTAATATTATTTACATAAGACAGTTGACAATGAGTCACCGACGTTCTCGCTTCTAGTAATGGGCAATAAACATTCTCTTCCCTTTCGTACGTCCGTCAAAGGCAGTGCCTCTTCCATCGCGGTGCTAAACATTGGAGCACAGAAAAGAAATATGGACGGTGTATTTATGTACGTTAATTCTACGCAGAATTCTAAAAGTTTGAAGTTCAACTGTTCGTACAATCGTATGTTCTATAAATAAGCAGATTTGGATAAGAGTCTAAAAAATTATGGT